AATAAAAGCCCCAAAAAATAAATATATAAAAAAGGAAAACATAACACAAAAATAAACATCTCAAACTGGACTAAACAGCTGCACACATTGTTTTAAATGTAGGAGGGTCTGTCGCCTCAACACAAACCATTCAACCCCAACTCTGCACTCACACTGCTCAGGACGGTTGTTCTGAAGATAAACACTTCATCTGATAACACTCATACACTGGTTTTAGTTGTCACAAAGAGACAAACTGCTGGTTATCGGAACATGTATGACTGGTTCATATTATGACACCTGCTGTTTGTTGTAATCATTACAGATATTGATCCTCAGTACTGGTAACAATAACTTCTGATTACCTGGATCACTTCTATATGCTGTAATTATATAATGCAGCAGAGAGAGAAACTTATTGATAAATAACTGGAAGAAAAGTACAACCTGAAGTTCAGGTTCTCACCACAGAAACTGAAGTAACGTTCATGATAAGACATTTAATAACGTTAGCTCACAGTACAAAAACTAGTCTGACATCTATTAAAACTCTATTAAAGCAATATTTTATGTATCTCTACTCAGCTTTTGTTGTATGCAAATATATTACACAGATTTTCTTGTTCTTATTTCTCAGAGAGGTGTTTGTTGCAGAGTCAGTGTGTTTCTTTCATCCGAGGGCCCCAATTGTTGAATCAGGTTGGTTCAAAATAAAGAAAATTTAATGAAACACTTGACTTAAACTTGACTCAATACTTCACAGTANNGACTAAAAAGACTAAAATGTTCAGAGTAAATATCACAAAGCCAAAACATGAACTTTTGATCTGAGGACTAAATTTATAATGTATAATATAAAATGAACACATGTAACAACATAAACTGAAGCTTGTGTTAACAGTGCTTATTAAACTGTAACTCTCCGGCCACAGCAGTCTACACTTGTATTAGCTGAAATCAGACAGCACTGTGCTGCACTGTTGGTTGACCTTTCCAAGGCTCTCAATGCTGCCGAACAAAGCCATGTGGACTGGTCAATAACTTCCCGGGATTCTGTGATGTTTGATCAGATATGCTACAGAGGATAATCAGTTCATCACCTTCAGTCTGGACTGATCAGGACTGACTGGTTGTTTTCTTACATTCTTGACTCGGGTGCCGAGGTCCTCGATGAAGACTTTACGAAGGTTGTTCAGTGTCTGAAGCTCTTTGGCCTGTTGGAAGATAATAACTTAGCTGATCTCTGACCTGTCACAGCTGCAGATAAAGATACAATGAATGTAAAATAATCAATAATAAACGTACCACAGTCTCCTCCAGACCCTTCAGGTCCTCTTTGGCTTGTTCTCTCTTCTCATTCAGGAACCTGAATCACACAAACAGAGTCTGGGTTTAATTATCACTATTATTATTAGACTATATAATGAAGAGAATTTCATAAAACAGATGATATTATCATTATAGTCAAGTTTCCATCCGAATGAAGCTCAAACATGAGTGAATGTTTGTTTCTTGATTGTCTAGACTTGCTCTATTGGAAAAATGTCCTGAGATAACTGAATTGTCACTGACTGATGGATGTTTGTATAACTGCAGTAGAGAAGCCAGTCTAGGGTGTCTACAGTGAGCACAGAGTGACAAACTTACAGCAGTTTTTGGAGTTTGTGGTCTTTGTTCTGATCCTCAGCTCTCAGTTTGTCAAAATCAGACTGAAGCTTCCTGTTCTCCAGCTGCAGAGCCTGATTCACACTGAAACAAACATTTATTCAGAAATTAAATCATATTCCACTACTGCCACCACTTTTATACAGCGGCAGCCTCAAAACAGACTGAACAAATCAGTTATTGTCATAATCAATAATCAATAACGCACTCTTTGAGTTGGTCGACGTTTCTCTGCTTCTGCTCAATCTCGTCCCGGAGACGACTCAGCTGTTTCTGATGGACTATCTACTTTACTCGGGAGGCAGAGTGCATAAAATGCTTTATTTCACATCCTCTTAATGTTTATTCATCTGGCTCCCTTCGTAACTGATAGTGCTGAGCACACCTCATGTGCACGCTCTCTAATATCCTGTACATAGCAACCGTAATTAAGCAATTGCTAAACTCTCCATTTGAGATGTTTGAAAAATGTCATTATTTTTTCTATTTATCTTTCAAGCTCAGGAAGTATGGAAGTAAACCAACAGTGGCTTACATTATGAATTTCTATCTAATCATCTTCCATGAACCCTACCCCACATCCTTTGTGAATGCTGATTTAAGATTCTTTAGGATTGGAAGTTAAGTCATTAAATTTGACTTGGCTGCTTGTAATATGATTGTAATTTCATGTAAAAATATAGAAAGTACATTGTTTCGTTAAGGTGTAGTATTAAAATGTAGTAAGTGATATCTGATGTCCCTTCCTGCACAACCAGCAGCACTGTCTGGAGGAGAGCATGAATTCTGGCTCTCTGGAAACTTAGTGACATACATAATATACCACATTCACCAAAACTGTGAATTGCACCTGGGTTTTAGGACACTCATTCACAACACACGATATGTTAATAGGCGCAGGATGTCGGAATTAGATCTGTCTTTAGCTGTATTTCATTAATTCCACTGTTACACACTGAGGTTTATACACAGCTTGTGCAATGTGCCCACAGTGCTGTCATGTTGGTATGTAATAAAGGTAAAAATACATGTGGAATGTGTCATCTGGGTATTGATAAGATTATACCACAGATACATCGTGGCATCCTGTATTTCTATAAATGATGCAACTTTGATTGTTTGGTGTTTAATACACTAGTATGAACAGCCCGCAGAGGATATACAATTTTGCTTTGTTTTGGTTCATCATTTTATTGCAGCTACACTCAAGCATTATAAATACAGAAAAACTCTCT